GGATTTGGCTGCAGCCAAAGGGATTTGAGAAGGATTTTTCCTTTTCCTGGATTTTCCCGAATTTAATAAATTTAATACAATTAAATAAAAAAAAATAAAATAAAATAAATAAAAATAATTAAAATTCTAAAATTAAATAAAATATTTTTAAATAAAATAAAATAAATAAAAATAATTAAAATTCTAAAATTAAATAAAATATTTTTAAATAAAATAAAATAAATAAAAATAATTAAAATTCTAAAATTAAATAAAATATTTTTAAATAAAATAAAATAAATAACACTTTAAAATAAAATTAAAGTAAAAGTTTTAAATAAAAATAAAATGAAATCCAATTAAAGTAATAAAATTAATTTTTGTTTTGCCTCGTTGTTAAAATAAAAAATAGAATCAAATAAATTAAAATAGAATTGAAAGTAAAATACAATTTTAAAGTTCAAATAAAAATAAATAAAAGTAAAAATAACTACATAGAAAGAAAATCAACAATGAGATAAAATTGAAATAAAATAAAATTAGGTAAAATTAAGCAAAAAATAAAACAAGAACGAAATGAACAAAAAATAAAATTTAACTAATTTAATGTAAATAATTAAAAATAAAAAATAGAATAATAAAGTTTAAGATAGAATAAATTAAAATAAAAATAGAGAAAAAAATTAAAATTTAAATAAAAATAAATAAAAATTAATAAATTAAAATAAAAGAATATACAAAGTAAATTCGACATAAAATTCAAAAATCCAAGAAAAAAAATTAAAGATTTTAACAAATAAAATAAATTTAAATAAAAATAAATAAAAATTAATAAATTAAAATAAAAGAATATACAAAGTAAATTCGACATAAAATTCAAAAATCCAAGAAAAAAAATTAAAGATTTTAACAAATAAAATAAATTTAAATAAAAATACATGAACATTGAAAATAAAACCTCTAGGAATAAAGGAAGGAACTGGAATTCCCATCCCAGAATTCCTAGAGTTGATATTCCAGCACCTGGAATGAATTCCCAGAAAATCCTTTTATCCACATCCTGGAGTTTCCATTCCCAAACCTCTGGGAATAAAAGGATGGAGCTGGAATTCCCATCCCAGAATTCCCATTGATATTCCCAGCACCTGGAATGAATTCCCAGAAAATTCTCTTCTCGAGATCCCAGATTTCCACAGCATTTTCCAAAATTCCTAAAACCCAAAGAAAGGAGCTGGAATTCCTAACTCATGGATGAGGCACTGGGAATGACCCGGAATTCCCATCCCAGAATTCCCGGAGCTGATATCCCAAACACCTGGAATGCATTCCCAGAAAATTCTCTTATCCAGATCTCAGATTTCCACAGCGTTTTCTAATATTGCTTCCCAAACCTCTGGGAATAAAAGGACGGAAGTTGGAATTCCCAACTCAGGGACAGGGAATTCCCATCCCAGAATTCCCAGTTGATATTCCAAGCCCACGGGATGCATTCCCAAAAGATTCCTGGAACCTCATGCCGGGATTTCCATAACCTCTTCCAAAAGGATAAAATTCCATCCCCAAAGCCCTGGGAATAAAAGGGAGGAGCTGGAATTCCCAACTCATGGACAGGAATGACCTGGAATTCCTATCCTGGAATTCCCAGATTTGATATTCCAGCACCTGGAGTGCATTCCCAGAAAATTCTCTTATCCAGATCCCAGATTTCCATGGTGTTTTCTAATATTCCCTTCCCCAGCCTGTGGGAATAAAAGGATGGAAGTTGGAATTCCCAACTGATGGATGGGAATGACCCAGAATTCTCATCCCAGAATTCCCAGTTTATATTCCACACCCATGCATTCTGGGATGCATTCCCAGAAAACTCCCTGAACCTCATGCCGGGATTTCCATAACCTCTTCCAAAAGGATAAAATTCCATCCCCAAAGCCCTGGGAATAAAAAGGAGGAGCTGGAATTCCTATCCCAGAATTCCCAGATTTGATATTCCAGCACCTGAATCGATTCCCAGGAAATCCTCTTATTCAGATCCCAGAATTTCCATTCTCAAAGTTCTGGGAATAAAAGGAAGGAGCTGGAATTCCCAACTGATGGATGAAGCACCGGGAATGACACAGAATTCCTATCCCAGAATTCCCAGTTTATCCTCAGAGCTCATGGGATGCATTCCAAGAAAATTCTCTCATCCAGATCCCAGATTTCCCCAAAACTCCATTCCCATTCCCCTTTATTCTGGGAATAAAAGGATGGAACTGGAATTCCCAACTCACGGGCAAGCACGGGGAATGACTTGGAATTGCCATCCCAGAATTCCCAGAGTTTATACTCCTGGCACATGGGATGCATTCCCAAAAAATCCTCTGAACCAGATCCTGGAGTTTCCATTCCCAAAGTTCTGTGAATAAAAGGAAGGAGCTGGAATTTTCATCCCAAAATTCCCAGATATGATATTCCAGCACCTGGAATGGATTCCCAGAAAATCCTCTTATCCACATCCCAGGATTTCCATTCCCAAATTTCTGGGAATAAAAGGATGGAGCTGAAATTCCCAGCCCAGAATTCCCAGTTGATATTCCGAGCCCATGGGATGCATTCCCAGAGAATTCCCTGAACCAGATCCCAGATTTCCATCCCCAAAGCTCTGGGAGTCAAAGGATGGAGCTCAGCTCATGGCTGAGGCAACAGGAATGACCTGGAATTCCCATCCAGAATTCCCAGATTTAATACTCCAGCACCTGGAATGAATTCCCAGAGAATTCTCTTATCCAGATCCCAAATTTCCACAGCATTTTGAAATAATTCCATTCCCAAAGTTCTGGGAATAAAAGGAAGGAGCTGGAATTCCCAACTCATGGATGAGGCACTGGAAATGACTGGGAATTCCCATCCCAGAATTCCCAGATTTCATATTCCAGCACTCCGAATGAATTCCCAGAAAATCCTTTTATGCACATCCCAAATTTCCATGGTGTTTTCCAAAAGCAAAAATTCTGGAATTCCGCTTTGTTGTGGATTTGGGAATTCAAGCTCCCCACAGATTAGCTGGGCCCAGAATTCCCAAACCTCTGGAATCCAGGATTTCCCCACATTTGATCCCTTTCGCTTCCAGAGGGAATTTTTTAACCAAACCCAAAAATCCCAGAAATTCCTTGAGATCTCCGGGAGTTTTATCCCAATTTTTTGGAAACCAGGAAATTTGGGAAATGGGGGAAAATAAAGGAGGAGGGGGCGGGAGAGGAACAAGGAAAAGCTTGGATACAGGAGCCTCATTCCCCAAAAAAAATTTAAAAAAAATCGCTGGAAAAGCAGCTCAGGGAAGAATTCCTTAAGATCTTGGAGCCCCAGCCTGGAATTCCGGAAGAAATTTGGGAAGCGGGAATTCCCTGTCTCGCTGCTGCCACCGCGTGGCTCTTCCCGCATCCCGAATTCCCGAGGATTTCCCCCAAATCCAAAGATTCCGAATTGCTGGAATATTCCCGGGCTGATCCAGGATTCAACCTTGGAGCTGCTGGAATTTTCCTTCCCCATGGGAATGGTTTGATCCCGGAATTCTGTAAGATTCCTTAAAAATGTTGGGACGCTCCTGGATCCCTTTTTTGTTGCCTGAAATCCCAGGACAGAATCCTAAAATCCTGGAAATTCTGAAATCAGGGAAGGTTTTGTGGGATTTTGGGATGGAATTCCCAGAAAAGCTGGGGTGTGCCGGGAATATCCCGTGGGATCCCACAGGAGCTGTTGCTGCCCGCGGAATGGGATGAGCTTTAAACCCCCAAAAATTCAAGAATTCCACAAAATGCAGGTGCGGAAACACATCCCTGAAATCCCAGAATTCCAAACATCCAGCTTGGCTTGAATCCCAGGGTTTGGGGCTTCTGTTCTTTAAGAAAAAAGAAAAAAAAAAAAAGAAAAGAAAAAAGAAGAAAAAAGAAAAAAGAATAAAAAGGAAAAAAAGGGAAAAAAAAGAAAAAATAAATGAAAAAATAAAGGGAAAAAAAAAGAATTTCACTCCCTAAAGCAACAGGGTTTGGGGGGAAAAAAACCTGGAATAAAAAACTGTGGGAAAAAAAAGGGGAAAAAAGAAACGGGGGCGGGGGGAGGGGGAACTTGAAAAAACCCGGGGGAAAAACTGGACAAAAATTGGGGAAAAAAAAAAGAAAGAAAAAAAAAACAAAATTGGAAAAAAATAACTGGAAAAAAAAAACGGGAGGGGGGAACAACGTGGGGAAAAAAAAAAAAAAAACCTGGAAGAAAACAAATAGGGAAAAAAATGGGAAAAAGAAAACGGAGCGGCGTGGGGGGGACGACTGGGGACCAAAAAAAACGGAAAAAAAACATGGAAAAATCCTAAGGAAAAAAAATATAAAAGAACCAAGAAACAAGTCTGGAAAGAAAAAAGCCTGGAAGAAAACAAATAGGGAAAAAAATGGGAAAAAGAAAACGGAGCGGCGTGGGGGGGACGACTGGGGACAAAAAAACCGGAAAAAAAACATGGAAAAATCCTGAGGAAAAAAAAATATAAAAAATAACCAAGAAACAAGTCTGGAAAGAAAAAACCCTGGAAAAAAGCTGAAACAAAAAACGTGGGGGAGAAAAAAATGGGGGAAAAAAAACCTGAAAAAAAAAACCTCCCTGGAAATAAAAAACCTGGAAAAACTTGGGGGAAAAAATAAAATTAAAAAAATAAAATAATGGAAAAAAAAAAAACAAAACACCTGGGGGAAAAAAACTGAGGAAAAAAACTGCCTGGAAAAAAATACTGGAAAAAGAAAAACTGGGAGAAATAAAAACTTAGGGGGGAAAAAAAATGGAAAAAACCTGGAAAAACACAGAAAAAACCCCAGAACATGGCCTGGAGCAGCAGGAATTCCTCCCCCTGGAGCAGCAGGAATTCCTCCCCCTGGAGCAGCAGGAAGCGCTCCCGGTGCTCCCGATCCCCCCTCCCGGGGCTCCGTCATCGACACCGCCTCATTAATTTAATTAATTAATTAACGGCTTCCAGCGCTGCTCCGCTCGGACAACGCCGCTGGAAAAGCCAGGCCGGGACTTTTCCCGAGATTCCCAAAAAATTCCAGGCTCGGCAGGAGGGGGGAAATCCCGGGAGGAGAAGGGAAGGGAAGATGGCGTGGGATCCAAGCTGGGATTTTCTGGGATTTTCCTGCCTCGTCCTGCTCCGATCCCGACTTTCCCTGGCGCAGCTGATCGAGGTGAGGAAAAACATCCCGCTGGGAGAAAAAAAATAAAAAAAAATAAAAGTGGGAATGAGGGCCGGGAATGGGGGATTTCCCTGGAAAACAACCAGCCGGGAATTTAAGGTGGATCCCAGGAGGTTTTTTGGGCATTTTTGGTGCTTCCTGATAAACTGGATTGGGAATTTCGGGTTGGAATCGTGGGGTTTTCACGGTTTTCCAATTATTCGAGGAGTGGGGCAAAACTTATCCCAAAAATCCTATTCCTGATGGATATTCCCATAAATGATTTGGAAAATTTTGGAAATATTTGGGATGAGTTTTCCTTCTCCCGCCTTTCCTCACTCCCGGTAATCCTGGATTTCATGGAATTGTGGGATTTCATGGAATTCCTGCCCCTCCGCAGGAGCTTTTCCCTGAGGATGACTCTGCATTCCCAAATTTATGGAAAATCCAGGAATAAGCCGGGAGGGAAGAGCGGCTCCCATGCCCTGGCTGCAATTCCAGAGAGAAATTCCTGCCTGGAACACAAATCCCAGCTCCCAAAAACTTTCATTTTTCCCCCTCTGGATCCTTTTCCCTGCTCCACCTGTGAATTCCTGAAGCAGAATTTGGCTGCAGTTTCTGGGATTTGAAAAATCCAGGAATTTCCTGGGATTTCAGACTTCTTATCCTTTCCCTTTTCCATATTTTTTTCCAGGATTTCTGGTCTCTTATCTCTGCCCTTATCCAGATTTTTTTTTTCCCCAAAGATTTCCTGGCTCTCATCCCTTTCCCAGATTTTTTCCAGGATTTCCAACTTCTCATCCCCATCCTTTTCCATATTTTTTCCAAGAATTTCCAGCCTCTTCTCCCTCCTTTCCTATTTTTTCCAGGATTTCCCTTTCCTGATTTTCCCAAGATTTCCAGCCTCTCATCCCTCCCTTTCCTATATTTCTTCCAGGATTTCTGGCCTCTCCTCCCCGCTCTTTTCCTGATTTTTTTCCAGGATTTCCCTTTCCCATTTTTCCCAGGATTTCAAACCTCTCATCCCTGCCCTTATCCTGATTTTTTTTCCAGGATTTCCCTTTCAATATTTTTTCCACCAGGATTTCTGGCCTCTCCTCCCTCCTTTCCCATTTTTTCCCCAGGATTTCAAACCTCTCATCCTTTGCCTTTCAATATTTTTCCCAGGATTTCCAGCCTTTCATCCTTCCCCTTTTCCTGATTTTTCCCAGGATTTCCAGCCTTTCATCCTTCCCCTTTTCCTGATTTTTTCCAGGATTTCCAGGCTCTCATTCTCAACCAAATCCCTGCTTTTCCCAGGATTTCCAGCCTTTCATCCTTCCCCTTTTCCTGACTTTTTCCAGGATTTCCAGGCTCTCATTCCCAACCAAATCCCTGCTTTTCCCCCATCCCATCCTACCTGAGCATTCCATAAATCCAGGAATCCTCTCTCTCCAAGGCCAGGCTGCTGCTCCAGGAAGAATTCCAGGTTTTCTGAGCTGTCCAACCATTCCCAAGGGAAGAAATGAGGCAGAACTTCCCCTGACAGTGCAGAATTCCCAAATTATCCTTCCCTGAATCCCAAGGACAACCCAGCCAGACGGAAAATTTCCCATTTTATTCCAGACAATTCCCAGAAAACAAAAATAAAACATCCAAGCCTCAAAAATCGGGATAAACAGCAAGAATTCCTGGATCTGCTTTGTTTATTCCAGGGTTTTTTCCTGGAAAAGCAAAAGCTCTGCGAGGAGTTTATTCCTGGAAATAATTGGATAATGGAGTTATCCTGAATAATTCGATTCCGGCTCAGCCAGGCTGGAGCAAACAGCCGGAGAGGAAGATAATTCCGGCAGCTGAAAATATTCCCCAAAAAACCTCAAATATAAGGAAATATAAAGGAAAAAAAAAAAGGCAAGGAAATATTTGGGGAAGAGGCAAAAATCCCTTTAAATCTTGGATTTGATTGAGGAAAACTTTGCTAGTTCCCGGGCCTTCGGAAAAATTCCCAGGGCTGGAAGTTCTGACGAAATTTGGGAAGAGAATCAGAAGATCCTGGGATGGGTTAGAAATCCCAAAATCCCAGGATGAGCCCCTAAATCCCTGCTTGATCCCAGAAATATTTCCCTGCTCCTGATCCCAGAGATCAGCAATCAATGGGATATTGAGGGATTTCTCTGGGAATTGGATCCCGGATCTGAGCCAATCCCGGGAGGATAAATTGGGAAAAATCCTTTATTCCCAGCTCGGGATAAAATTCCTTGAGGGATTTCTCAGGAATTCCACTTCCCAAAAAATGAGGAATTTTTTTGAGCACTGGGTGTATTGCAGCTGTTTTCCAGCTGCTGCTCCAAAGTGTTCCATAAAAATCCCATGGAATATTTAGTAGGATTTCCATCCTTTTGGTTTAGGCTGAGTTTATCGTTCCATAAAAAAAATTCCACAACTTTTTATCCCAGAATTTCTTTGCGGTTCCATTCTGCTTCCTCCTGGATCCTCAGTTTTCCCACATCCTGAGGATTAAAAATTCACATTGGAAAAGTGAATTTTTCCAGGAGTTTTTCCAGGAATTTTCTCATTCAGGCCCTCTTTGACAGAGATCCCAATCCTTAAAATCCATTGGAAAAGCAGAGAAAGGAATTCCGGAGCGAGCCAAGGCATGGCTGAAAAAAGGAAATTCTTCCTGTTATCATTCCTTAAAAACCCCTCCAACATTCCCAAATTCTTGAGGTCTCCCCAACCTCTCCACCATTTCCCATGCTCTCATCACCTCCTGGAGTATTTTTGGGAATTTTGGTGCCCTGATCCATCTTTTCCTGCTGGTTTTCCCTCCCTTTTTCCCAGGCCACCACGGCGCCTCCCAAGAAGAAGCCGGATCCGGTGACGTCGGAGACCGTGGTGATCTGGGGGCTGCGCCTCTGGCAGGTGGTCGGGATCTTCGCCCTCTTCGTCCTCTCCATCAGTGAGTCCCGGAATTCCCTGGAATTTTCCTCTGGAAAACTCCCCAGGGCACTCTCTGGAATCCTGGGAATGCACAAGGAGGGGTTCTCTGGTGGGAATCGCCAGGGATTCATCTCGGGAGCACCTGGAGAAGTTCCAGGGATGGGAATCGGCTCCAGCACCACGTTCCCACCCAGATCCGGGATGGAGCCGTGGGCCTGGGAATCGTGAAATGCTTCATTTTGGGAATCATGGAATGATTTGGATTAAGAATCATGGAATGTGTTGGGTCGGGAATCATGGAATGATTCGGTTTGGGAATTATGGAATGATTTGGGTTGAGAATCATGGAATGCTTTGGATTAGGAAACATGGAATGCTTTGGGTTAGGGAATTATGGAATGATTTGGGTTGGGAATTGTGGAATTCTTTGGATTGGGAACCATGGAATGCTTTAGGTTAGGAGTCATGGAATGTGTTGGGAATTGTGGAATGCTTCAGTTTGGGAACCATGGAATGATTCGAGATGGAAATCCTGGAATTCTTTGGGTTGAGAATCCTGGAATGTGTTGGGTTTGCCATTCGTGGAATTATTCAGGTTGAGAATCATGGAATGATTTGGGTTAGGAAACATGGAATGATTTGGATTGGGAATTGTGGAATGCTTCAGTTTGGGAACCATGGAATGATTCGAGATGGAAGTCCTGAAATTATTCAGGTTGGGAATAATGGAATTCTTTGGACTGGGAATCGTGGATTCCCTTCAGGTGTCCAGGAATTCAGGATTTCCTCTGGGCTGGAATTCCCAGCTGGGGGTAGAAATTCCTGAGGATTTCTTTCAGGTGCCTGGGAATTTGGGAATTCAAGGAGAATTCCTGTGGGACAGAATTAAGAATTCCTGAGGGAATCCAAACAGGAGATTCCCACCTGGAATCTCTTTCCAAGATAATTCCATCCCTGGGAGTGACCCCAGAGTTTCCTGGATTCCCTTCAGGTGTCCTGGAATTTTGGAATTCCTCTGGAATTCTGGAGGAATTTCCCAGCTGGAATCCCAACTGGGAATGGCGCAAGCTTCATCCCCATCCCTGCCTGGGATTTGGGATTTGGGATGAAGGAAATTTATGGAAAAAAATCCATGAAAACAGGGAATTGGGAATGGAGTGAAACGTAAAAACAGGGAATTAAAAATAGCAATAAACCTGAAAAGAGGAAATTAAAAATAGCAATAAATATAGAAACATATAAAATTAAAAAATAAAAATAAACAGAAAAATAGAAAATGAAAGAATAACATTAATCTTAAAATATAATTAAATATAAATTATTATATTGTATTTATTATAATAAATCAATATAATTAAATATAAAATATAAAATTTAAAAATATACATTAAAAATGGAATACACAAATAGAAAAATAAAAAGATTAAACTAAACATTAAAATGTAAAATTAAAAAATATAAATAAATACAAAAGTAGAAAATTGAAATATAAAATTGAACATTAAAATATAAAATCAAAATGTAAAAATGTAAAACCACACCTAAAGCTAGACCTAAATATAAATCTAAATAAAGTAGAAATGCATAAATTATGCTTTAAAGATAATTGGATTATAAATATTATTTTGATTAATATTGTAACGAGTATTAGTTTATTAATTACATATTAATTTAAAATAACTTGTATTATTATAAAATAATAGGATTAATTAAAATTATATTAATGGAATAATGTATTTCTATGTTATTAATAATAATATATTTATATAGTTTATTATTATTTAAGCTTTTATTATTATTTTAAAATGTCACAATATTTTAAAAATAAACTTAAGTCAAATCAATCCATAAATACAATCCAAAAAAATAGAAATACATCAATTATGCTTTAAAGGTAATTGGATAGTAAATATAATTTTAACTAATAATATCATGAGTATTACTTTATTAATTACACATTGGTTTTTAAATAACAATTTCTATTATTATAAAGTACTATAATCAAGAATTACAATTGTATTTATGGAATAATACATTTCTATGTTATAAATAATAATATGCCTAGATAATTATATAATTAATCGTAATTATAGTTATAATTAATAGTTAATATAATAGTTACATAAATAAATAATATTTAATTTGTATTTCTGTTATGAAAAATAATCTACTTCTATAACAATATAATTAATTGGAAATATAGTCTTAATGGTTAGTTGTAATAATATAATATCAAATGACTACTTAATAAATTAATATTAATGTTAATATAACATTATTAATGAAATATTAATAAAATTAAACTCAATCAATCCAATCAGTCCAGAAATCTGCTCCAGGTGTGGATTCCACCTCCCAGCACATCCCACAAGGTGGCACCATCCCATAAGAAACGGGGGAAATTTCAAATTCCAGGTTTCTCATTCCCAGGAACTCTCCCGGATTCCCGTGTTTCCTGCTCCCATTCCCAGTAACCAACCCACATCCTCATTTCCCGTTCCCAGGAACTGCCCCAGAATTCCATATTTCCCTCTCCTCTTCCAAATAACTCCCCCAGAATTCCATATTTCCCTCTCCTATTCCAAATAACTCCCCCAGAATTCCATATTTCCCTCTCCTATTCCAAATAACTCCCCCAGAATTCCATGTTTTCCATTCCAAGGAACTCACACAGAATTCTGTATTTCCCATTCCCATTCCCAGTTAAATCCTCGTTTCTCCCTGTCCATTCCCAAAAATTCACCCAGAATTCCATGTTTCTCATTCCAAATAACTCACCCAGAATTCCATGTTTCTCACTCCCATTCCCAGTAACTCACACAGAATTCCACATGTCCCATTCCCAGTCCCTCACCCAGAATTCTGTCTTTTCCACTGCCATTCCCAGTTATCCCCAGAATTCCTTGTTTCCCACTCCCATTCCCAGTAACCAATGCAAATCCTTGATCCCCTCTCCCATTCCTAGAATCTCACCCAGAATTCCTCATTTCCCTCTCCCATTCCCAGTAACGCACCCAGAATTCCGTATTTTCCACTCCCATTCCCAGATAAATCCTCATTTCTCCTTCTCCATTCCCAGAAACTCACCCAGAATTCCTTTTTTCCCATTGCCATTCCCAGTTATCCTCAGAATTCCTTGTTTCTCACTCTCATTCCCAGCAACCAACACAAATCCTTGATCCCCTCTCCCATTCCCAGTAACTCAACCAGATTCCCATGTTTCCTGCTCCCATTCCAAATAACCAACCCAAATCCTCATTTCCCATTCCCAGAAACTCAACTGGAATTCCTCTTTTCCCATTGCCATTCTCAGTTATCCCCAGAATTCCTCATTTCCCTCTCCATTCCCAGGAACTCTCTCAGATTCCCGTGTTTCACACTCCCATTCCCAGGAACTCCCAGAATTCCTCACTTCCCTCTCTCAGTAACTCGACCAGAATTCCATGTTTTTCATTCCAAGGAACTCACACAGAATTCCTCTTTTCCCATTCCCAATAACTCACACAGAATTCCACATGTCCCATTCCCAGTCCCTCACCCAGAATTCCATGTTTCCCCTTCCCATTCCCAGTTAAATCCTCATTTCTCCTTCTCCATTCCCAGAAACTCACCCAGAATTCCTTTTTTCCCATTGCCATTCCCAGTTATCCCCTGAATTCCTTGTTTTCCACTCCCATTCCTAGCAACCAACACAAATCCTTGATCACTTCATCCATTCCCAGTCCCTCACCCAGAATTCCACGTTTCCCGATCCCAGTCCCTCACCCAGAATTCCACGTTTCCCACTCCCAGTCCCTCACCCAGAATTCCACGTTTCCCATTCCCAGTCCCTCACCCAGAATTCCACGTTTCCCGATCCCAATCCCTCACCCAGAATTCCCTGTTTCTCATTCCCAGTCCCTCACCCAGAATTCCACGTTTCCCAGTCCCTCACCCAGAATTCCATGTTTCCCATTCCCAGTTATCACGCTGTGCTGCATCTTCAAGTGCCGGATCCCGCGCACGCGGAAGGAGATCGAGGCGCGCTACGCCCAGCGCCAGGCGGCCAAAAACTACGCGGACAAACTGGACACGGTGCCGCCCCTGGGCGAGCTCACCGAAATTCCCGGAGGTAATTCCCACTTTTTTTGGGGGATTCTGGGAGCGCAAAGCCCCTCAATGAGCTCAGCAACATTCCCAGACGTAATTCCCACTTTTTTTGGGATTGTGGCAGTGCAAATTCCCTCAGTAAGCTCAGCGATATTCCTAGATGTAATTCCCACTTTTGGGGGGGATTCTGGGAATGCAAAGTTCCTCAGTGAGCTCAGAGACATTCCCAGATGTAATTCTCACCTTTTTTGGGATTCTGGAAGCACAAAGTCCCTCAATGAGCTCAGCAACATTCCCGGAGCTAATTCCCACTTTTTTTGGGATTGGGGCAATGTGAATTCCCTCAATGAGCTCAGAGACATTCCCAGATGTAATTCCCACTTTTTTTGGGCTTCTGGGAATGCAAAGTTCCTCCATGAGCTCAGCAAAATTCCTGGAGCTAATTCCCACTTTTTTGAGGATTGGGGCGGTGCAAATTCCCGCAATGATCTCAGAGACATTCCCAGATGTAATTCCCACTTTTTTTTGTGAGAAATGCAAAGTTCCTCAATGGGCTCACCAAAATTCCCGGAGGTAATTCCCACTTATTTTTGGGATTCTGTGAGTGCAAAGTCCCTGAATGAGCTCAGCAACATTCCCGGTGCTAACTCCCACTTTTTTTGGGATTCTGGGAATGCAAAGCCCATCAATGAGCTGACCAACATTCCCAGAGGTAATCCCCACTTTTTTTGGGATTGTGGCAGTGCAAATTCCCTCAGTGAGCTCACTGACGTCCCCAAAAGTAATTCCCACTATTTTTTTTGGGATTTGCAAAGTTCTTCTCATGGTGCCACCATCAAGGTCAACCCTCCCAGTGTGGACTCAGGATATTGGGATAAAATCCTTTGGATAAGAGGCAATTTTTCCGTCAGTTTGACTAGGAATCATTCCTTCATTCCAAAGTTAGTTTTGGAAAAGTCCGTCAAATCCATCAAATCCTATTTTGAACCAAATCCCACTAAAAAAATCCTGTGAATTCCCACATCTCCTGGTTTTTGGAACCTATCCAGGGATGGTGATTCCAACACTTCCCAATTCTTAATGTCTCTTCCAATCAGGATTTTTTTTCCCTAATATTCAATCCAAACTTTTCCTGGGACACCTGGAAGCCATATTCCATTTTCCCACCAATTTCCATCCCTAACCCTCCTTAGTTAGGAGAATTCCATTATGAAAATTCCCAGTGGGAATTAATTTAATTTCAGGGCCTGCCCTTGGGCTAGGGAATACCAGGAGTGAAACTGGAGTGGTTGGAATTCCGCATTCCCAGTTTTTCCTGCTGGAATATTTCTTCTCTGCTGCTCTCACTCTCCTTTCCTGATTCCATAGGCTCTCCCGAAAATCTCCTCACTCTCTCTGGCCATGGCCAGTCCAGACCTCTCCACTCCCTGCCTGTGCTGAAGGAAGAGGATGAGATGGTTCTCCAAGGAATTTAGGGAATTTTGATTCCTGGCCGCCTGTGGCTTCTCTTTTCCAAGGGGATCCATCAATCCTAGGATTTGCTGCTTCTCCATTCCTGGATTTTTCCTGTTTCCTCAACACCTTTTGATGGCTTTTTTTCTCCTTCTTTCCTATGTGTCTCCAGGAGGTGTAATTCCATAAAAACGGCATTTCCAAAATTTGGGATGTGCTGCTTCAATCCATGGGAAAAGAGGCAGATCCAAACTGTAGGAATTTAGGAATTCCTTGGAGAAATTCAATCCTACACCAGCAAAATGCAAAATTATGAGCTGAACAATGGGAATTTGCACAAATCCCAGGATTTCAGGGGTGCCTGAAACTGGGAATTCCCAGCCCTCCCTGTGGAGCTGAACCCAATTCCATTAATAAATCCTTGTCCTTCCACTGAATCCTTGTCCTTCCAGTTAATCCTTATGGGATGAGATGGTTCTCCAAGGAATTTAGGGAATTTTGATTCCTGGCCGCCTGTGGCTTCTCTTTTCCAAGGGGATCCCTCAATCCTTGGATTTTCTGCTTCTCAATTCCAAATAAGCCTCACTGGGAGCAATCAGCTGGATGGGAAAATCCCCAGTAGGAATATTTTCCCTTTATCCCAGATTTCCAGCAGGGAGCTGGAATATTGACGATTCCTGTTGAATCCACATAAATTCCTTTTCCTTTTGGTTTTTTTTTTCTATCCTTGGAAACAGCTCAGGTTGCAGAAGAAAAAAAAGAGGAAGAAGTTCCCACTGTGTCCGGAAAAGTGGACAAGGCTCAGGGAAAGAAGGATGGATCCAAAGGCTCCAAGAAAAAGGATGGGGAGAAGGAGCAGAAAGAAGAATCCAAGAAGGAAGGGAAGGATGGAGCCAAAAAAAAAGATGGAGAAAAGGGGGAAAAAGGGGAAAAAGGAGGAAAAGAGGAAAAAGGAGGGAAAGGAGAAAAGGGGGAAAAGGAAAAGGGGGAAAAGGGAAAGGACACAAACGACAAGAAACAAGGGAAAAAGGGGGAAAAAGAAGGCGAAGCTGGAAAATCCGGAGGTGCCAAAACCGATGGAAAAGCTGGTGGGAATTCCAAAGCTCCGGCAAAGAAGAAGTGACCTCCTGGAAGGACAGTGCTGGAAATTTTTTTGGGAATGCTCTGGCAAATTCCTGGAGAGGAGCATTTGGAGCAGGATGTGCTTTTCCAGATATTCCTGTGGGATGCCATTGGATGCGTGGATTTCTTCCCATTTAGAGATGGAGTTGCCAGGATTCGGCTCTCTGAAGGAAAACTGGGAATTTGGTTGGATAATAATGAAAAATATCCAGCAGGAATGGGATGGAAGATTTCTTCCCATTTAGAGATGGAGTTGCCAGGATTCGGCTCTCTGAAGGAAAACTGGGAATTTGGTTTGGATAATAACGAAAAATATCCAGCGGGAATGGGATGGAACTGACCTGGAAGCTGGAATGGGAATGAGGACTTTGGATAAATGTGGGAATGCTCAGGGATGAGGATCCAAACTAAAGGAGAAGGGGATTCATCCCGAATTTCTTCTCCTGGAGGACCTGGAGAAGTTGGAGAAAGATTTCCTGGCGCTCAGCACCTCCTTGTGGGGAATTTTAGGGATTATGTAAATTCCGGAAAAATCCCAAAGTATGGAATTCTCTAAGGTGTGAGTCCTGTGGATTCCAGTAAGTTTTTGGACACATGGGAATTTTTCCTTCCTTTTCTGGTGCCTCTTTTCCTGGATTGCTGCAGGAAACACCAGGAATTCCATCTTTTCCAGGAGATTTATTCACATTTTCCTGATTTTTTGCTGAGGAAATCCAGTTCTGAGACCAGGAATTCTGCTCCACTTCCATGTAGTGCTATTCTCTCCCTTCCCGGGAATTCCTGAGGAGTGGATTTATCAGGAGCGGCATTTTCCAGCTGTTTTGGGAATATTCCAGCAATTTCTGCCTCAAAATTTCCAGCTGGGATGATTTAACTCCAGTTTTTTTGGGGAGTATAATGGAAAATCTTGGGATAATTAAAACTCAAGGTATCCTGGAACTGTCTGCTCCATAGGGAGAATTCCCTCCAATCCTTTATCCCCAGGAAGGGGATTTATTTTCTATTTATTTGGTAGAAATTTTCAGTTTTCCTGCTGTTTTTTAAACCTGGATTTATCAGTGCCAAGATATTTCCCATTTTTCCTTTTCCCAATTTTCCTTTCCGTTCTTTCCCACCCAACTCATCCTGGTGGGAAACGAGCTTGGAAAAATGAAGGGAATTTTCTGCCTGAGTGACGTCGCTCAGCTCCAAAAAGTCCCAAAATTACAGAGCACCTGAAAAGGTGGAAAATTTCAGGAGAGACACTGGGAATGATGTCCAGAAGCACGGGAATGCTTGGGAAGAGAATGATCCAGGGAAATGTGGAATTCCAAGATTGGGAATCCTGCCCCTGGACACAGAGGAGCCATAAATCTCCATACTTGGAATGGCACCAATGGAAAAGTGGGAATATGGATACAAAGATCGGATTTCTTTGGAATTTCAATCCTAATCCAAATTTTTGAAGGCCCTGTTTAATCAGGAACCATGACAATAAAAGAGATTTTTCCATTGGATTCAGGTTTTGCTCCCTGGGATGTGCCGGATCCATGGGAATTTTGGGAAGGGGTATATATGCCTTAAAAACTCCAGGATGGGATCCAGCTGGGATTGGGGCAGGAAAACTCGGATTCCCTGTCCTGCAGTTGGAATCGCACTGGAAATTTGGGATGTGGCTCCGTTTGCAGAGGGATTTATTCCCAATCCAAAGGTTTCCAGGAGGAAAATCCGCTCCTTTTCTTTTCCATGGAATTCCTTCTCCCTCATCCAATTTCCATCCCTATCTTGTTAAAAATAATCAAAATCCAAAATATAATATTCATTGGGATTGGGAAATCCTTTAAAATCCACCTCAATCCTTTTTTTCCAAGCAAATATTCCAAATACTGTGAATCAGATCCAAAAGATTTGTAGGAATGTTTTAATGATTTTTAAAAAGGGATTTTCCATTAAAAAAAAATTATCCATTGGGAATAATTTGATTTTGAATTATCAGAATGGGGGTGAATGCAGGGAATTCATTCCTAGGATCAGGGAATCCATCCTGGGATTTGGGGATCCATTTCTGGGATCAGGGAATCTGTTCCTAGAATTTCCAGGGATCATCCTGCCCATAAAACTCATCCCAATTCCTGAAGTGGAAACAGAGAGAAGAAATTCCCAGCCCTGATCCAATGTTTTCTCCATTCCAGTGGGATCTGGAAGTCAGGAAGTGAAAAAACAAAAGGTGGAAAATTCTAGCCCGGAGTAATTCCAGTGCTTTGGGAGTTGCTTTTCCACCAGCAGATGGAGAAATTGCCTTGAAAAAGCCACAGCCACAGGAAGGCATTTTTAGTGGAAAATTGGATTTATTGTCCCCTATTTGGGTGGAAATGGAATTCCAGAGGCCAAAAGTTGCATTGAATTCTCAGAAATCCAGGGAATAATGGCAGGATCACTCATTTCCTTGGATTCTGGTGATGCTGGTCCTGGAGCAGGAAAAATCATCCAGTCAGGACCAGGAATAAATTCCAGGATCTCCACATATTCCAGAAATTCCCACTAGAGGGGATCTTGTCTGGGATATCAGACCCAGTTTTAAGGAATTTGGGCTTATTTGGGATGGGAAATTAAGCCTAGATTTGGGAAATCTTCCAGCTAAAGTTGCTCCTGGCATTGATTTCTCCAGATTTTTTCCCTGGATTGGTTTTCCATGGAAAATAGAAGGGAAAATTGAGTGTTCCAGCATTTATTAGACACATTCCCAGCCCACCTGGAAAGGGATTGTGCTGTTCCCTCCGTCCTGCCCCAGTGCCCAGGAATGTGGAGCCCATGGAAACACCTGGAAAGGGGGAATGGTGCTGGCTCAGCCTCCGGCAGCGGGAGCAGTGACCTGAGTCCCAGGCTCTTGTGGGACATTTGTGGGACATTTGTGGGACATTCCTGTCCTCTGTTAAGCAGCTCCTGGAAAATCCCCCTCGGGAATATCAGGAACCGCCTGACCCCACTTGGACTGAAGCCAGGGAAGCAAATCCATGAAAAACACGCCCCCAGCAAGGTCCTGCTGTCACCTCGGGGAACTTCCCAAGGGCAAAGTCAGGTTTGTGCCTTTTCCAAGGTAATCCCAAGGAAAAGGAATGAGGGGTGAGTGTGGATGGGCAGGAAAACAGACTCCACAGGACTTTGTGGAATTGTCACCTGAGCCAGATTTGGGTGTTGGGATCATGGATGTCTCCAGAGAAAGTCAAGTTATCCCTCTCCGTACAATCTATGTGGAGAAATGAACATTTTGGGAATATTTTGCATCAGGCTGGTTTTGGTGTTTGCCGTGGGAAGAGAGGAATCTTCCCTCGCTTCAGGAGTTCTTCCCTTGATCCCATCAAGGATCCTTCCCTCTTGGACTGAACCCAGGGAAGCAAATCCATGAAAAACACACCCCCAGCAAGGTCCTGCTGTCTCCTCTGGGAATTTCTGAAGGATAAAGTCAGAGGAGCTCCTGATTTGAGGCTTTTCCAAGGAAAAGGAATGAGGGGTAGTGAGCAAGAAAACAATTCCATAGGGTCTTGCTGGAGTGTCACTTCAGCTGGATTTTAGGATCGTGGATGTCTCCAGAGAAATCCACATTATCCATACAATTTATGTGGAGAAATGAACATTTTGGGAATATTTCCCATCAGCCCAATTTCAATGTTTGCTGTGGGAAGAGAGGAATCTCTCCCTCGCTTCAGGAATTCTTCCCTTGATCCCATCAAAGATCCTGGAGAAAAGGAACCTCAGGGGGGACCTTCTGGCTCTGACAGGAGGGGGCAGCCAGGGGGAAAATTGGAATCTGCTCCCAGGGAACAGGGACAGGAGGAGAGGGAATGGCCAGGAGATGTTCAGGTTGGACATCAGCAGGAATTTCCTCATGGAAAAGGTGGCCAAGGATTGGAGCTGCCCAGGGAGGTTTGCAGTCCCCATCCCTGGAGGGATTTGTTCTCCATGTGGCACGTGGGGTTTAAGGCATGGAGTTGATGAGTTTAGATGAT